TCGGCCTTCAAGTTCTTCCAAAATCTTTTTTGGTTTAATAGATTTGCTCCTTTAAGCAACCCCAAAGAAAAAAAAGTCACATAGTGTTAAGTCAGGACACTTGGGTGGCCACCCATAGATAAAATAGGGAGTTACTTTTCAATAACCATATATATATATATATATATATATATATATATATATATATATATATATAGTAACAGTAAGAAGACTGTAATGAAGGTAAAGGATTGCGTGTCTTCTATCGAGTTTCGGGCTGTTGCGATTGGGTACCAGCACACCTGTTTGTTTATTCATTGATCAACACCTACGCATCTATTAGCACAGTATATATATAATATATGTTGTTTAGGCAGAAAATGTTCTTTAAGGCAAATATTAATAACAGACATTTTATATCGATTAACTTTACTGATCAACTTTTCTAAATTACGAATGACCTTTTTCAGACGAGGACATTCTGTCATAAAAAATTTCCGGCGTTAATTTTGGAAGAAATATGCTTCAGCTTTTCTACTTTCTTAAGTCATCATCAGGGTAGTCAGTCAAATTTAAAAGCAGCATAAGCGTCATAGTAACATTAGACAGCTGCACAAAAACAATACCAAAATACTAGCAAAATCAAATAGTAAAAATGGACTTGTGATCACTGACGCAATACACATAATACAAAACAACCATCTATAAATAAAAAAAAAATAATAATTAAAATGTATCTATATAAAAAAAAAATGAATACGTCACAACACTATTTTCCTATATCACAAAACTCAACCTAAGTCTCAACCCACCCAAGTAATGACTTAAACTCTCGCGTTGAATATTATAATTTTAATCTTCCAAACCAAGGGTCAATCGTCATCTATCCGTCTTGCTTTCATCATGTACACTTATACATCATCATAAATTCATATCACGCATCTCATTCATTAGCCGCCACCATGAGTCTTGTACTGAGGGTATATTAAATATATTAGATAGAGAGTTCTAAACGGATTTCCTTTTAATTCGAAATTTGTATTACTTCAAACGTTATTATAGTCGTTACTATAGACACCTTATTTTTATTGTAGATTATGACTTATACCTATCGGCCTTTGCATTCGAGAAATTTATTTACTAAAATTTCTCGTTTGAAGTAATAAATATAATTTTAAAATGTTCCTTTTTTTTGTAAAACCATAATTTATAATAAAGTATTTAGATTGAGGATATTGTTATGGATAGTTTTTACTTATATCAATCTCAAGATGGCTGCAGAAGCAGATTAATTATAAGCCTAGTTATGCTTCCAATAATTTCAAAACGGAAGCAAATATGAACAGAACAAGAGTCTCTTAAATCGAGTCAGTGTTTCAGTGTGTTCTGTTTGATATATTTATCCGTGGCCAAGGTGTTAAATTCGCGTATATTTATAACAAAAAAAAAATTAGTTGTTGATATCTCCTTTCCAGCAAGGGATGATTTATCTCGAGCATTCAGAAACATTTTCAGATTAATATAATAGATAGGTATGAAGGAAGTAGATGATAAACAAGATATCGGAGAATTTTGGTATAAAACCAGGTTTCAACGGAATTAAGAAGTTTCTTGGCCACAATTTGATTCATATATCTCGATAAATGAATAGAATATTACAACATTTGTACGTTTTCTAATCTCCTTGCAAGATTTTTTTTTTATCTATCACTATCTGATAGCAAGATATGTAATTATTTATGAACCTTCACATAAAACAGAAATAAATGTATGCTTATGTAAAAATATATGTAATACTTAGCACATATAGAGGTTGGTTGTTTAAAAAGGTCGTAGATTCATGGAGAAAGAAATATTTATTTTACGAAACCACTTATTATTCTTTAATTCTCCTTCCTGGATAATAGTCGTAATTCATTGCTTCTGCTTTGGTCACATATTTCAAATATTGGACAGTAAAATATTCAGGGCAAGATTACTCCGGCTACGTAGTTAGTGATCTAATCTTGTACATATTCTCCATATATGCATATGTAATTTATATATATATATATATATATATATATATATATATATGTGTGTGTTTGTTTGTATAATAATAGTATTCGAAAGAAATGTAGGGATAATGACAGTGGAATAGCTGAAAAACAATGCTTTTCGCCGACGTCCGTTGTTGTCGGCTTCAGTAAAGAAAAGTTGGGATTTTTGAGGATACAAGGAGCACTAAATTAAACTACCTTATCAGATCCGATGACCAAGAATCGCGAAGTGTTTGTTTGCATATAATGCATAACAACACTTTAAACACACTGGTAGTTCACCGTAACAGATTTTATTAAATTTCGACTTAGTAAATACAAGTCTAACAAGGTGAAAAGGATTCATTCACGAAAATTCATTGAGATTTCTCTAACCTCTCAATTCTCAATTCTCAATATACTTAGCAACACGACTATATCTAATATGATCGCAAAACGATAATAGTACAATCGGGTATACGAGCTAGTCGACCGAAAAAAGATAAATGCTCGGAATGCGCTGACTTAAAATTTGACATAAACGACACACACACATATATATATATATGTCAAATAGGATAATATGAATAAAGACAAAACTTAAATTAGCTTACACATTTCGTCCTCTGAGAGATTTTTATCATCATAGGACGAAACGCGTAGACTAAAATAAGTTTTTCTTTTGTAATCTCTCTATCTACCTACACTGTATGTATAGGTTCGAACCAGCCTTCCTTTTTCTTCCAGAAGCCTTACTTAGTGCAACTGCTGTTCTAACATTTACTTATAAAAGACACATTTTTCTCTGCCGTCTTCTTTTCTATTTAATCCGAAATTACGTGCAACAGTTTTTTTTATATGCACTATTATTATTAGACGTAATATCATCTTGAATATTATTAGTAGACTAAGCATTGTCTATTATTAGTAGTAGTATTATTATTATCATTCGTCATTTTTTTTAAGTTCCTTTTCATTGCAATTACTTTGACCAGTATTCTGTGGAAGTCAGTAAACATCGTTGTCTGAGGTAGAATAATTGATAATCTAATAACAAATTCAATATTTCTTTCTTTTTCTGTCTTCTCTTGTTTTGGCTATAAGAAATACTAAATAAATGCTTACAATTAGCCAAGTTTGGCTAAGCACAGTTCAAAATCAAATAGGGAGAAAATAGTGCAGCTAATCATTGTGTTTTGAAAGCCAACATTCGAGGTTCATGTTTTTAGCTCTCGTTCAAACATTGGCCACTGACTCCATTGGCAACACTGCAACTCGTTCAGTAATAGTACTTAAAATATTTACCATGCCGAAAATGTGATCAAATTACCGAAATTAGCAACATTCAGCAAGATTGCTTTGTTAATAATTACTATATTCTTTATGTATAATCTTAATATTGTTTGCTAAATCTTCTGTCCAGGTAGAGAAGGCCAACATTTGGCAATAGTGTGATGATCGTTGCTCCATGAAAAGTTGTTTCAAACAATTGATTTTGTCTGATTGGTTTTGAGGATAAGGAAGAAGATTATGATTCACAAAAAATTACACAGCTACAATTGTTAGCTCGATACTACAAAACTCCAAACTTTTTTTTAAAAAAAAAAAAAAAAAAAAAAAAAAAGAGGGGGTGATTCAAACTAAGCTGCCCTAATAATGAAAATAAATCCAGTTCAGAATTCAGTAGTTCCAGGCCTTTAGATGTCGCCAAAACCAGTAATCCTGTAATTGTCTGAAATAGTATTAACATTTTCCTTTATAATTAAATATTCAGCATTCATTGACGATGCTGTCACTTCAAAGGTTGGCTGAAATTTACAAAACTTTCTATCAAAAGAATTTAAAAAAAATAATTTCCCCTGTTATCGCGCTTGCCTGTATTGATGGGCCAACATCACAACCACAACATACTTTCTAGCATTCTGTTTGATGTAGTGAGGGGGCGTCTTGATTATATCATTATTTTCTTTTTGAATTACATGTGCTACCCATTTTAGTTGTTGTTGCTGTTGAAAGTTCTCAAAGTGATGTGGTTTCTATTATTTGGTACAGTTCATTGATTTTATAGCGCCAGTCAGCTATGTTCGAAGAATGATCGTCCTTGCTAACACTAACAAGCTTCATTCACTTAAAGCAATTTTAACCATTGATCTTAGCGTTTGCATACAGCTGACAATTTAGATATTTATTGACAAATTTCATGCCGTGCATAGCATCAATATAAAAGTTCCGATCTCGCAAAGCTATTTATGAACATGACCTGTGTTTTTAGGATAATTTTTTTGTAATTTGCGGTGTTGGATGAAGCTATCCTTAATGAGCCTCTTCTATGATTAATTTCCTTTTCCCCTATACTAAATTCGTTATAATTGATCCATACGCCAACTGATCTAAAATGCTTAGTATTTATTAATTCCATATCCGGAATTTTATGATGGATTTAGGATATGTTCCATCACTGATTTTATTCAAACTCTATATCATAGTTTTTTGTTTTTTTTTAAACGTATTTCATTTATGTTATGTAAAAACATATATGCACATACACAGGGTGTATCAAAAATTCTTTTACAAACATTGTGGGCGGGTTCTTCACACCAAGACTAAGACAAAAGTCCATATAAACATATATCCACAAATCCTTCGATTTTGAGTTATTAAGTTTAAAGAAAGCTTACGTCCATTACGATTTGCGGTCGTATGTAAAAATTATATCTGCCTGAATTTTTTTGAATATCCTGCCATTGTTCAACTGAACACTTCTCTTAAACGTTGGGAATAAACTAACCACAAATGTAAACACAGCGCCATCTGCTGTAAACTTTTTTTAAACTCAATATCTCAAAACAAAGAATTTGCGGACATGATTTTTATGGACTTTTCTCCTTGTTTTGGCATGAGGTACCCTACCCCCAAATTTGTAAAAGTATGAATGATACATCCGATATATACTGATTTTTTTTTTTTTTTTTTTCACTTTTGTTCCAATCCCTTATATACGCTATGTTCACAAGTGTTATATTCTCTGTGTTTGTTAAAACGTTTCTTTTCTGTCATGGTTCTCTTCATATGTTTCATCTACATATATTAGATATGTCTTATTTGTAACATTATTTGAGCTATTTTTTTCGATCCCTGTCGGAAATAATGTGAGCCATCTCAATCTCCGGACTTACCTCGTCCCTGTCCGTCTCACGGCCGAATTCTTCCAGTCTCTGTCGGTGCCTGTGGCGGATTCTCCCCGTCTCTGTGTGTGGCGGATTCTCCCCGTCTCTGTGTGTGGCGGATTCTTCCCGTCTCTGTGTGTGGCGGATTCTCCCCGTCTCTGTGTGTGGCGGATGCTCCCCGTCTCTGTGTGTGGCGGATTCTTACCGTCTCTGTCGGTGTCTGTGGCGGATTCTTCCCGTCGGTGTCTGGCGGATTCTTCCCGGTGTCTGTGGCGGTCTTCTGTCGGTGTCTGTGGCGGATTCTTCCCGTCGGTGTGTGGCGGGCTGGGATTCTTCCCGTCGGTGTCTGTGGCGGATTCTTCCCGTCGGTGTCTGTGGCGGATTCTTCCCGTCGGTGTCTGTGGCGGATTCTTCCCGTCGGTGTCTGTGGCGGATTCTTCCTTCCCGGTGTCGGATTCTTGTCTGTGGCGGATTCTTCCCGTCTCTGTCGGTGTCTGTGGCGGATTCTTCCCGTCTCTGTCGGTGTCTGTGGCGGATTCTTCTCGTCTCTGTCAGTGTCTGTGGCGGATTATTCTCGTCTGTGGCGGATTCTTCTCGTCTCTGTCGGTGTCTGTGGCGGATTCTTCCCGTCTCTGTCGGTGTCTGTGGCGGATTCTTCCCGTCTCTGCCGGATTCTTCCTGTCGGTGTCTGTGGCGGATTCTTCCCGTCTCTGTCGGTGTCTCTGCCGGATTCAATTCGTCCCTTTTTATCTTTCTTGCTATAATCCTTTTTCTTTATTCATTTGAATACATTTCATTTATTGTCTTAATTTCTTTTTACCTTTCCATTTGTATCAACATATACCGTTCATTCTCACGAATATTTATTTGCATAGTTTTCTTCTTTTTTTTTTTCTTGCTATGTGTCTGCACAGAATGATGATCTTTTCGAGTTACATCCGGTCGCTACTTTCTCACGCACTAAAAACGCCCAAATCTACCAATGTGGAAGCATCGGCAGTCAGAATCAGTGGTTCTCTGCACGTAATTTTACAGAGAGACAATGTGTTTCTCCAACAAAACCTCTCCCTGCCAACGCTCAACTTCTTGACATATTTTTGATTGTGTTTACTTAGCTACTTATCTCAAAGTTCTTTCGATTCTACTATCTTTCTGCAACGCTTGGCAGGTTCGTCAATAGATCCTTACGCCCTCTTGGTTCCCTTTCTCTTATTCTACCGTACTGTCTGGCCTTATGTTTTGATCTCTTTTTCGTTGTTTTTCTTACTTTATTTTGTGTGTCACGTTCTTCTCCCAAAACATCTCCCTTTCTAAACATTTTAATTTTTTCTCATCACCCTTTATCCGCTGTCTGTATCTGTCGTTTTATGCATTTATCCATCTGTTTCCCATTCACACACACACACACACACACTCTTGTTCTGTAGGACTCCACCTTTTTCTCTCTCTCTCTCTCTCTCTCTTTCTCTCGTCCTAGAGGCCTCTTCTGTTCCCCTTTTTTCTCTTGAAACGTCCCCGCTTTTCTCTGTTGAAGCGTCCCCCGTTTCTCTGTCTCGCACTTTCGAGGATTCCCTCTTTCTCTCGCGCGGCCACCAGCTCTTTACCCTTCATTCACTTTGAAGACTGGAGGCCTATCCTTTTCTCTCCGTCTCGCTCTAGTGCCCTCTTCTCTCTCTGGAGGATTTACCCCTTTCTATATTTCTCTCTTTCTCTCTCAAGGACTCTCTCCGTTCTATCTGCCTGATAATCTCACTATCTCTCTCTCTCTCTCTGGAAACCTCTTCCCTCTCTCTCTCTCTCTCTCTCTCTGGAAACCTCTTCCCTCTCTCTCTCTCTCTCTCTCTCTCTCTGGAAACCTCTTCCCTCTCTCTCTCTCTCTCTCTGGAAACCTCTTCCCTCTCTCTCTCTGGAAACCTCTTCCGTCTCTCTCTCTCTCTCTCTCTGGAAACCTCTTCCATCTCTCTGGAAACCTCTTCCATCTCTCTCTCTCTCTCTCTGAAACCTCTTCCATCTCTCTCTCTCTCTCTCTGGAAACCTCTTCCATCTCTCTCTCTCTCTCTCTCTCTCTGAAACCTCTTCCCTCCTCTCTCTCTCTCTGGAGACATCTTCTCTCTCTCTCTCTCTGGAGACATCTTCTCTCTCTCTCTCTCTCTCTGGAGACATCTTCTCTCTCTCTCTCTCTCTCTCTCTCTCTCTCTCTCTCTCTCTCTCTCTCTGCAGGCTCTCTCCTTTTATATATATATATATATATATATATATAAAATGTGTGCGTGTGTCTCTTTCTCTCTGGAGGCCCCGCCACTATCTTTATGTGGATGCTCCCCTTTCTCTCACACATTATGGAAACTCCCCATAGTCTCTCTCTACTTGCAGCCTCTCACCTTCTCTCTCCCGCTCTCGAGTCTTTTCTCTTTCTTTTGCGTAGATTCTCGCTTTCTTTACCTTTCTTACACTTTTAATACTCTTCTCTCTCCTTTATTCTTCCAATTTTATTGTTTTTTTTTTTTTGTTTTTTGTTTTTTTTTTGTGGAGGGTTGAATATTTGTAGTCCAGTGCTTCAAGTCAGCACACGTGTGGAATTCTCTCAGCGTTATAAATCTTTCTATTTGTCTAACCTCTGCCCTCCTTTCTACTAGTTTGTCTAATCCATTATATATTTCTGTCACTCGCTTTTGCTACTGAGAACGATAATAGGTTGTCTCCATCCCTCTAAGGCGCTAGTTTTTTTGTTTTTTTTTATTTTTATTATGCTCAAGTCAGTACATGTCTGTAACTGTTGCTCTATTTACACAAACATATATACTTACATAGATAGATATAAGAAACTTGTGATAATGTGCAAAACTCTCTTCTCACGTATGATCTGGAATTGTATGTTTAGCCATTCAACCAGCAAGGTTCAAACTCACCTATATTGTAAGAATCTGTGACATCAGTTTGGTAGGAATTATTCCATTTGAACCTCTAAGCAGAAATCTATAACATAGACTAAACTTAAATTTGAACACGCACACACATACATTCAGTAGTTTTGACTGTTCATGTATGTAGATTAGTGTGTGTTTGCAGAACGCGCACACACACACACACATATATATATATATATATATATATATATATATATATATATAGTAGCTCTTTATTTACCTCCGTCTCGACTGACAGCAGACAGCTTTTTATGGTAGCTTTGTCTTCCACATTGGCGCGCAGAAACTGTGAAAAACAATGGAAAAAAATCTCTTGCTATATCTGTTCATCTTTTCGGAGGTGAACGCATACTTAGTATTTAAACTGGTATGTTAGTCATACATACGTTTACGCTTCCTTTTACTCTTTTTATAGCTTAGGGCCATATCACATTGAAACACCGTTACTCGTATGATTACCCCACCTGGTCAGTATCTAGATAGGTAACAACTTGTTAATTCCAAGTGCTGTAAGATTAGATGTGCGGGTGGCGCATTGGATAACTGCTCCGAGTTGGAAATCCGAGAAATTAGTTCCAATTCCAGTCGAGTTTATTATATTCACTTACGCGCGAATGCACTTGGAAAAGATATGAATTCCTGTCTTCATCCACAGCTATTAGGACTTTTATCAGTAAATTATTATCTTCAAAAAATTCTTACAGTCTAAGTAAACATTTTCTGTCTTTCAAGAACTTGCAAAAGTTGACAAACCGTGAAAAAACAATTTTATAATCTGCTTATATGTTCATAACCATTCACAGGTAGATGTCCATAAACACAGAACTTTCACATACTTCCCTGAATATGACGATTTATGTATTGAAATATACACAGAGAAACACAGACACGAACATATTAAACGTTTAGGGTTTAGGTTATTTTGATTCTTTTTAATATGAATAAATCCTAAAATTTACACTTCTTGTTTATCGTAAAATTTATGATAATTTTAACCTCTTTCAACGGCTTCTTCGACCACAATAATCATTACCTTGAATCAATTGCTCAAAAAGGTTTTTAAAAAATAGGTTATTCTAATATATATTTTATTTGCTGTAAATGTATTCCTTCAATAAAAACATTGTCAGCAAAAATAGCTATTTATCAACAAGATGGCCCCTTCAAAACATTTGGTTGCTGCATAGATGTTTTCACTATGCAGTAATTAAGTTCTTTTCAAAATCTAGCACAATGGATTGAATTAGCTATATGCAACCTTCCTATTGAGGGTGGACGTTAAATCCGTATGAGGAATTAACAAACGAAATGTCAGCATTATCTTGCACATCACTTCTTATGAGAAAATCCTGCTTCTGCTATGACCTCCTCCTCATAATCGTGTCGATCTTGCTCGGTCTTAGTCGGCATCATGACGCCATCCTTCTCAGTTCTCCATGGCATTTGGTTTTTCGTTGGTACTGGATCCAGACTCTTGTTTTTCAAACACCCAGGGAGAAGCTGTGAGCAAATCTGAATGTGGTCATTGTTGAACCGCGCGACGTCATGTGGAATGTCCCCGTATTGATATCGACACTAAAAAAAAAAAACAAAAAAAGCAAACCCTTTCAATGCCAGTTCCGAGTATGTTTATCAATATCACGGTCGTAACAGTAATTCGTTTTGGGAAATAAAACATCCTAGAAATGGTAGCATTTTCATTCCAGCATTGTTTGTGATTTACTTTAGTCGTAGGTTCAAATTTCCCACAGTCGAATCAGCTCAACCACAGCTTCTTGTGATAGCAATTTCTTGTGCTCCCCATCCTCCAACTTGCCCAGTTTTGTTAGACCTACCCGGAGTAAAAACCCCTGCCGATGTAGCTCTTAGGGTAGCTGAATTGCTCAAGACCAGACACCATTTTAAGGCAAGAAAAATTTGTGGAACCATCTTTTAGGAAAAATAAACTGCTATTTCTACACACAGAATGTATATTTTTGTGCAAAGCAACAAAGTATATATGCCTGGGTATAAAGATAGGTTTATACAGGTATTCCATAGTTAGGACCCGCGAGAGTTTCGACAACTGACACATAAGAGCATCACGATATTACCAAATGGATATGTACTTACTATGCTATATTAGTATGGAGATAGCATAATAATGGATACACGGCCGTTTTTCGCGCTCAACGTGGATTCTTAGCTATATCTCGTCTTCACGCACAATCCTATTAATAACGATAACATGTAAAAATAACCGTATCGCTTTCATATTTTTTCGTTCAGTAGACTTTAAAGTATACAGCACATCGTAGACATCACCACACGTTTTCTACAAAAGACGTGTCGATAAAAACGTTAGGAAGCTTTAACTGGATGATTTTATAGAATCTGTCTATAATATTATGATATATTTGTTCCTCTTGCAGAAAGCCAGAATATTTGTCTTTAAAATGTTTTCCTCGTCATCAATGGAGATTTCCATTTGTTTGTGTAAATGGATGGCAGAACAGGGTTTAGGAGAGATAGTAAAAAATTACTACAAAGAGCTACAAAGGACAGGAAATTGTGGAGATTCACAATCACCAAAGTCCTGAAGGTGTATAACACATAGAAGTAGTAGTTAAACATGGCTGTTAAAAATATCATATTTTGTTCAGCTGTTACTGTTATGTTTTAACATATTTCTCGAATGAGTAAATGAAATCTGTAGGACTCGGCAATGCCTATACTCCTTCGTACATTTTGGACTGCGGCTACAAAATCACAAGGAATGAGCTGTATCAAATAACAAAAAGCAGATCACTTGAGGAGTTTTAACAGAACCAACAATTAAAATAGCACATGTAACTCGAAGTCAAAATAATGGCATAATGAATATGTTGACGTCTCACACTAATTCAAATAAAAGTTTAGGATGGAAATCCCCATCAATATTGGAAAAAGCGATGAGAGCTACTGTATTTGAGAAACCTATTTTCCCGAGAAATTATTTCGAGAAAAAATTTATAAATTTAAACTATCAGTGGCACTGTATGTTAGGCCAATGGATACCGAATTTTTCTTTATGAAAAAACGGCTAATATTATCAGTACCATCCGTTAGTATTTAAACACTGTTTTAAAAATATTAAATGAGAAATTATCAACATTATTTACATTATACAGACTATTGTCCTCATCTTTGTCGCCATGTTTAATAGATGTCAGTTATCAGTTATCTCCTGTTAATTTCCCTTTGAAAGTTCTCCACTGCCTTAACCGGCTATTGAACTCACACTCTTTGCGTCCTGTCTCTGGATCTAACCAACACCTTTATCCATTATGCCATGTGTCCTTGAGATAACCGATAACTGACATCCATTAAACGTGGAACTAGAACAGTCTACCCCAGTGAGCGAAATAAAGGCTTAAGTTCGACATTCCAACCACCTGAAGAAGGCCAGAGCGTACAACGACCAAAACGTTGTAATAAATATGTCGACAACGATGAAGACAATAGTCCGAATAATGTAAATAATGTCCATAATACCTCATCTCAGAAATATAGACAGATACTGAGAAATTATCATTATATAACTTGTTTTTCCTTACCAGGGTTTTCAATTTGACTGTTGTCCCATTCAGATATTTCGTGTGACTCACGTCCTTCATGTTAAACTTTTTGTCATTTCGAATGGAAAAAATTATTGAATAAAGTGTTCATGTGTCCAAGAGAAAATGTCCTAATAGATTAAACACTTATTTAAAATGTAAGGCTTCACTTTGCCTGGTAGTGCTAAACATTTAGAGAGACTGCTTCAAGGAAAGAAGTGAAGAAGCGAATCAAAGGTAAATAAGACTAAGTATTACCTGATAGGAAATATGGCCTAACTATATTGATGGTTTGAATAAAATTTTCAGACAGTCAGCTGAAGAAGGCCGGAGATTATAATGGCTGAAACATTAAAAGAATAACAATGTGAGCTTACTAGTTCAAATAGAAAATCTTAGAATCAAACCTTTTTTAATCTAGTTAAAAATTATCCAAAAATAAAATTTTATTTCAATCAACATATTAAATCATGTTTTGGTTATCTAAATGCTAAATCTCAGAGGAAAATATTTTTTGTATTAGAATTGGTAAATAAAAAAGTATTTTCTGTTTTAACACCTTTCTAAGATCTCTGAGAACAAGTTAAGTACGAATGATGCTATTTTAATTGTTTAGTTATTTTCACCTTAGATTCGAAATAATTTTATTTTCTTACTAGATGCCTTGTTTCAAATCTTTAAACCAAATCGGACATGTAAAAACGTATTTACTCAATTACTTATAAGTAGAGCTATCTATAGGTTATTTCTTATAGGTAA